TTTTTTCTACTTTTTTTCGGAAATCTACTCTTAAATAAAAATTAATTTTTTCAAACTCGTTGCAAGCTTGCGTAAAGCATTCACTGAAACGTTCAAAGAAGCTTTGGATAATTTTTCAAAAAAAACTTTCCCTTGATATTCTATTGGAAATTTGTGAAAAAATTTCGGTAATATGGAGGCAATCTTCCACGGGAACTTTGAGGAAAGCTTTTTTAAATATTTAAAAAGAAGTACAGATGAAAAGTTTTCTTAAGTTTGCAAAGGAAGTTTCGCAAATCATGATTCGAATTGTAGCAAAATTCCATTGAAAGCTTAAACTAAGCAGAATAGTTTTTTTTTACTTTCAACATTTTCGATACAAGCTTTTTGAAACCGATAAAAAAAAAAAGAAATAAATTATTTTTTAGCATCGATAACAATTGAAATTCTGTAAATCTAATTCCCGAATTGTATGCAACGGCATGGAATAATTTATCAAAAAAGAAAAGAAAAAGGGGGAAAACTCCAAAGTCTTTTTTGTTGCCTGTGTATACACATAAATCCCAAAGGAACACAATTAATAAAGACCCTAATAAAATCTGAGCTTCTGAACAAAAAAAAAAAAAAAGAAAACTTATTTCTTCTCCATTGAAAATGAAACGGTCTCTTACATAATCGGTTTACTTCACAAAACTTCCTGTTTAACTTGGAAAATCACGTTTCACTTAAACTAAGATTTCATTGAGAACAAGTTTCTCAAGTCTCGTTAAATCGAATTTCTAATTTCAATGTCAAAATTAGTTCCTATTATTAAAGCCGCCATTTAATGGTTCCCCTAGAATATCTTCTTTTTTTTCTCCTCCTCCCTATTATTTATCATCCGTTAAAATTTTAGAGTGCGATATCTTTCGAAAGCTAACATATTGGATTTGGTTCCCATGGTAGCCACAAATTCAGGAGAATATTGACATTCACATTTATATTCTTTACTTTCGCGGTAATTTCTTTTTCCATTTAGACATTTTTTTTTCGTTACATTATTTTCTTTCTTGAAAATTTTTCTTCGTCTTCGTTCTTTTATTTTCAGGTACTTTAACATTTAATCTTTCCCCTGCAATTCCTTGATCGAAATGAATTTTTCTATTCCGCTAAATCTGAGTAAACTTTAACTATTATCAGTGTGACAATCACAAAGATATCGATAATAATACGAATCGTGCTAAATGTGAGAGAGACAGAAGTTGGCTTTTCTCTTCGAAAATACTTTTGGCCAATCGAAAATATAGCAAGTCGCCAGGAAAGTGCTTTTTACACGCGCCCTGAGAATTCTACTCCTTAAAAAAAAAAAATTCGTTAAAAAAAAACTAGAGAAACTTTCGATTAAGATAGAAGAATTTTTTCATCATTCATTTTTTTTTCATTTCAAACAAAGACTAACTAAATTTTAGAATTTAAAAAGAAAAATTCAACTATGGAAGTAATAAATAGAATTAATTCAACGATTGGAGTTATTTTCAAAAAAATTGTAATAATAAATCCTAAAGTTCATTGCAAACTATAATAATAAAAAAAAAGAAAGTAAAATCAGAATTTATTCTGTTTCGCGCATTGTTAAATTGAAATGAGCGTTCGCGAGTCTTTTGCTTTCTTGTCGTTGGCATTGTTTCCAGCAATTTTTTTTTCTCCTTTCTCTCTCTCTCTCTGTCTCTCTCTCTCTCTCGTTTTTTTTTAACAGTAGCTATTTGTCTGCGTTTTGTGAGGATTTTCTTTTTTAACTCGCATTGTTTTGAATACAAGCCTGACTGCTCGTCCTTTCAGTGACGAATTGAAAGCATTCCACGATGAATTGTTGATTCACTAAAGAATTTAATGTTATTTTCCCTGGCGTACTTTTAAAGTCAAATTCCAAATGAATTTCTTCAAAAGAAACTTATCTAATTGAAATAATTGAATTAACGGTATTAAGAAGAAAAAGAATGTAAAATTTAATTTAAGTTTTTTTTTTATTAAAGGAAGTACTTCTTTGAAGAAAAAAAAGGATAATTCATCAATTACTATTCGTAACTATTATAAATATTTATTATAGTCACTAATAATAAAATTAACCCTTTAACACCCATAGGACATTATGTCCCACATGCAAAAACTTCTTCACAATTATATTTTCATCATTTCAATTCAATTATTATTTTCTACAATTTGTAAGTAAAATTCTTTTTTAATTCAATTATTCTTTCCACATTTTTAATAATTTTTGAAAAAGTTCTTTGAGAATTTTCAAATTCACTTGTTTACAATTCAATTTTTATAGAAATTTCGATCTTTCGGAAATTCTTCAATTAATTATATTTTAGAAAATAAAAACTTGAAATAATTTCAAAAAAAAAAAATTCAAAAAAACTTTTCCAAAAAAAATTAATTCTACAGAATTTTTAGTTAAATGTATAAAAAATTTAAATTTTCTAAGATTTCAATATGAAACCTTTTCAAAATTCAATTATTTCTAAAATTTTAATTAAAATTAATTTTTAAATCAATTTTAAAAAAAAAATTTACTAGATTTCAATTATTTAAATTTTAAATACAAAAATAAATAATTTATTGAATAATTAAATATTTCTTAAAATTAAATTCTCATAAAGAATTTTATCAACAAATTTTTAAATAATTTAATTCTTTCGACATTCTGCGATGAGTTTTATTATTTATGAAAATAATTGAATTATTACTAAGAAACTTATAAAAAAAATGTGTAAATAATAAAATTCCTGTGAAATTTTAATTATTTATTTATGAATATAATTAAATCTTTGTGTAAAATATTATTAAAATTATTTTTAAATAATTGAATTCTTTTGGAAAATTTTATTGAAAATCATTGAATTGAGTAAAATTTTTAATAAAAATTTAAATTTTGACAAGAATTTTATTAAAATGTTTAAAAATAATTGAAATTTTGACAAGAATTTTATTACAATTTTTGAAAATAATTGAATTTCGGAGGAAAATTTTATTATTTATAAAGATAATTAAAATTTTGACGATATTTTTTTTAATTTTTGAACAGAATTGTATTTTTCCAAAGAATTTGTTTTTTTTAAATTCAATTTTTCAATAATTTTTAACTTTTCCAAAATTCTAATTTTTTGCGTTTTTAATTAAAATTCTTCTACAAATACATTATTTTTTATAATTAATTAAAAATATATTAAAAACTTAACTGATTTCAGAAGAATTTGAATTATTTAAATTTTTAAAAAATCTAAGTTCTTTAAAATTTCTAATTAAATTCATTTAAAATGGAAATTTTCTAAAATTTTAAATTAAAACCTTTTGAATTTTATCAATTTAAAGAAAATTGTTAACGCAATTTTTTTAAAATTCAATAAATTTTGAAATATTTTTAAGTATAAAATTATACATTAAATAATTTATAAGTAATAATTTTATTATTCTTTTATTATTATTCATGATAGTTGTTGAAGAATTGAGTTATTTAAGAAGAAATTATTGTTAGAAACAGAAAAAAATTGAATGTTTTGTATAAGAATTCGTGGTAATTTCATAGTTTATGAGGCAAACAAAAAAGACACCAAAATTCAGAATTTTCTTATGAGTTCTAAAAATTTATTTTTTTCCAGTACTTTTAATAAAAATCCCCGATTTTTCCCTAAATTCCCTGACTTCCTAACCTGTATAAAAATAAATAAATATGTTGATTGTCAATTTATTATCTCAAAAATTGATTTTTTTTTTATTTTAGAAAAAACTATTAATTTAATTTAACTTTTATTATTTTATTATTTTTATTATTAATAATAATATTTTTAATTATTTATATGTCAATTAATTTTTTTTCTAGAGGTCTGCATTATGTTCAATAAACCATTATAAAATTCTTGACGTTATATTATTTAAATCTTAAACGTAAACAAACATATTTATATTATGCTGTTAATAATCTAAATAAAAAATAAAACGTACTGAATTCTATAAAACATTTCGAGTTATTTTATGATTTCAATGATTTTATGATTAAACTTTGAAAAGGATATATAAAAAAAAAAGAAAAACTTCTTTATTTTTGATTAGAAAAAGGTCAAAAAGGGCACAAATCACCAAAAAAGGGGAAAAAGGTGACAAATCACCAAAAAAAGATGAAAAGATTGAAAAAAAGGGCCAAAAAAACCACTAAAAACATTTTTGGTTTTTAAAAATTTCCTCCTCCCTTTCCTGGGGCGATAAAGAGTTAAAATTTGAGAGAGTTTTTAGAATGTATTTTAGAAAATATTTCAAAAGATATTTTAGAAGATATTTTTGAACATATTTTTGAACATATTTTAGAAGATATTTTAAAAGATATTTTATAAATTTTATAAGATATTTTACAAAATATTTCAATAAATGAACTCTAGAACTGCTTGTACGAGAGAGAGAGAAAGAGACAATTCAAGGAATTATCGAAGAAATTCACCATAATCTAGAATTTATTATATAGAAAGACTTTGCAAATCCATTGGTTACGGATACTAGCCACCGGTAGTATGGCGGTTACCCCAAAAACCGTTCGTGAGACATCCATTAACTAAGCTTGTAATCCCTTCAGTTAAGTTAGCACATGGTGCTGCGCAGTCTATCGTTTCTGTCCCCCCTCATCTCCCCCTCTCACCCCCCTCCAAACACCCAAAGTTGCTTCTGACGCCGAATTTGCTCTTCCTAAATAGGGAGCTTTCAGGTTCAACGCGTCTACAGGGAAAGGTAAAAGGGGCACCATGACCAATGGCGGTGTTTAGCTTTGAATAATGAAGAGAAGCGATCTCCTTCTCGTGGTTCTCCTCTAGTCTTACAACCAACACTTCGTCACGAGTTCTCGTTCTCGCTTTAAATAAAGAAAAAAAAATCTTTCCAAAACTCTCTAGAGAGTTGAAAAAAAAAAATTTTTTTTTTTCAAAAGAAAAAAATACTAGAACTACACTGAAAAAAAATTTATTTGATTCTGTTGGAAGGTTAAGTGAGAAACACACAGTTTAGAAAAAGAACACTTTAGTTTTATTTATTAAACGTTATTAGACAAAATACACTTCTTTATTATATCGAAGATATAGAGAGATACTTTTAGGTTTCGAAGGAACGAACGCACGCGGCAAGGGCAAGAGGAACGATACTGTACATCACGTGATCGGCTAAGCGCAGTCTAGTGGCGCTAGAATATACTAACAGAGAAAAGGGCGGGCGTTTCAAACTTCTAACACTCCCTCCCGATCGCCTCTTTTCTGCTCCTTTAAATAAACTTAGTCCTTTGGTAAATGAAAATAAATAGGTTCTATGGTAAATCTCTCCTTATGTTCCTCATCATGAATAGTTAGTATCTGAAACATCAAAAGTATTATTAATTGTTTAAATTCATTATTTTATTAACAAGATTTTTATGTAAATCAAAAGACAAAGGTTTTGTGAATATGTCAGCAATTTGTTCTTTGGATTTTATCCATTTAATAATTATCAGGTTTCTTTTAACACATTCTTTCACATGGTGTTCCTTTACTTCAATTATGTGTCTCAATTTATTCCCACCATTTGTTTGAACACTTATACTCGCCGCTTTGTTGTCACACCATAATGTCATGGGAATTAAAGGTCTTGTTATGATTAATTTTAGAGAATTATACATTGATAACAATTCCTGACTCGCCTCACTCATCGCTACATATTCAGCATGACACGTAGACAATGAAACATAAGTTTGTTTATGTGTTCGCCAAGCTATTGTATCCCCAAACAATTTAATCAAGAAACCACTAGTCGTCAATGAATTTTTGCAGTCGCCAAAGCTGGCATCAGAGTATGCTTGTAAATTATCAATCTCACCTAAGTATGTTAGACACAATTTTCTAGTACCGTTTAAGTATCTAAAAACTCTTTTTACCATCTTCCAATCATCTTCAGTCGGATTTATTTGATGTCTGCTTAACACATTTACTGCGTAAGCAATATCTGGTCTTGTCGCACCTGCCAAATATAATAGACTTCCGACTGCTTGTCGATAAGGGAAATTAACACTCGTCTCTGTTTTATTTAATATCTCATCGCTGATCTCTTCTTCTCTCATCTTTCTTTCCCTATTTGTAGCTTGTGGAGTATTCATTGGAGTTCTTTGAGGATAAGATTGATCAAAACCGAATTTATACAAGATTTTATTTATGAATTTCTCTTGATGTAATTCCATGACTTTATTTACTTTGTCACGTTTAATTTGAATACTTAAGATTTCTTTTGGTTCTCCAAGGCAAACTATCTCAAATTCTTTACTTAATTTATCTTTAACTTCTTGTAATTTTTCCTCATCATTACTTGCCATGATTATATCATCAACATAAAGAAGCAAGATTAAAAATTTATCAAATTTTCGCCAGGTAAATAAACACGGTTCTAAATTGGAATTTTCTAGTCCTACACTTAACGCGACTTTAGTAAATTTATCATTCCATCTTTTAGGACTTATACGCAATCCATACAACGCTCGTTCTAATTTACACACCTTTTCTTTTCTTTCTTTCGCATCATGTCTTGTTCCTTCTGGTATCTCCATATATATCTCCTCATCAATTTCGCCATTTAAAAATGCCGTTTTTACATCGAATTGATACATTTTTAAGTCAAATTTGTTTATAATGGCTAAAACAGCTCTCACCAATGGTAATCTCGATACTGGTGCATATGTTTCACTCAATTCATATATATTCTTATCTTTGAATCCTCTTATCACTAATCTCGCCTTAAACTTTTCTTGACCGTTTGTATCTACTTTTCTTTTAAATATCCATCTTGAGTCAATTATAGTTACTTTCTCACCATTTTCCATTTTACTTGGCTTGTTAATTAATTTCCAGACTTTATTTTTCTCCAAGGACTTCAACTCATCATCGATTGCCAATTTCCAGAGATCTTTATTCGGTGATTTCAACGCATCTTTATAGTTTTCTGGATCAGAATTGATTTCTGCTAGGAAGGTATGAGACATCTCATCATTCAACACATCTTGTCCAGTTGTTAAAATAGATTCTTCAATATTCTTATCATTGTTTGTCTCAATTTGAATTTGTTTAGTCATACCGATTTTGTTTTTCCGTGGTCTTCCTCTTTTTCGTTTTACTTCTCCCTCCGATTTTGTGATTTCTTCTGGACTCTTTTCCTCATTATTGGATTCAATAAACCATTTTTCTTTATTTATCTCATCTTCGATTAACGGAAAATCTCGAATTTCATTTCTTTTATATTTATCTCCATAGACTAATTTTTCATTAAATCTTACGTCTCTGCTTTCGTAAAATTTCCCATCTTCTGGTTTTAGAAATTGGTAACCTGTAGGTGTATAACCTACCAAAACAACTCGTCTTCCCTCAGCTTTAAATTTAGGTCCAACTTTTCTTTGCACTTTAATATAAGCAATACAACCAAATCTTTTGATTTGATCAATATTGATTTTGTAATCAGGATTAAATTTTTCTAATGGGATTATCATGTTGTTGGATTTGTGTGGAGTTCGATTATATGCAAAAACTGCTGCTGTTAATGCTAAGTCCCACAGATATTCTGGAAATTTTGAGTCAAACATGTAACATCGCACCTTCTTTTGTATGGTTTGGTTAAACCTTTCTGATACACCATTGTGTTCTGGTGTGTCAGGACAAGCCAACTGCGATTCCGCACCTAATTCCTGTAGTACTTCTACTGTGTACCCACCTGTATATTCAGTCCCTTGGTCAGAACGTAAATAACACACCTTCGCATCATATCCTAATAAATTTCGTGCGCTTCTTACGAAATATTTTAGACATTTGCCTGTTTCACTTTTATATTTCATAGGATAAGCCATAGCTAATCGCGAATAATCATCAACAAAAATGGAAATGTACCTATAATTTTTCGGATAAGTAGATGGAGAAATAGGACCCATTACATCGGAATGTATTATTTGTAGTGGAGCTGTTGCTCTACTTCTTGTTGATGTGAATGGTAATCTATTAAATTTTCCAATCAAACACGCCTCGCAATCTAATAATTTATTTTTATCAAATATTACTGAGTTTAGATTTTTATTTTCTGGATATTTACTTTGTAAATTTTTAAGATATTCGATTGACGCATGTCCAAATCGACCATGCCATAATAGGGTTTTGTCATAAATTTTATTTTTACTATTTTCTTTTAAAGGATTTTCCTCGTCTGGTAACTCAACTACTGGCAATTCGTCTAAATCATGGAATTTTCTATCCCAAATAGTAGTGTCAAAATTAGATTGTTCATAAGGAATTTTGTTTTTATTTGTTTCGCAACTGTTTGAATTATTAGATTGTTTCTCATCGTTTATTTGTTTAGTTTGTTTCTCATCGTTTGTTTGTTTAAAATCGTTTTCTTTTATCTCTTCATTAAATATAATTGTTTTATCATTTTTAATTGATTCTAATAATTTTTGTTTTTCTACCACGCTTCTTGTAAGATATCTGTGAGTACTATTTTCCATTTCTGTTAAATTTAAAAACACGTCTTTATTTATTATTTGATCTAAATTCACGTCTTCTATTGGAACATCTTTTATTTCTAGTTCTATTTCCCAAAATGGTCTTTTATACACGCCTGTTAACAATTTTTCATTCGAGTAGGGATCAAAAATATCTATTTTCTCATTATCTAAATAAATTCCAAGACCCATTTCAGCAAATTTTCGCAAAGATAATAAATTTTCTTTCAAGGCTTCAGCAAAGACTACTTTATTTAATTTAAATATCTCACCATTATTTAATTTGATTTCAATTTTTCCTACTCCCTCCGTTTTTAAGTCTGCTGAGCTATGTTTATTTGCACATTTAATAATACAATTATCAGTTTCGTCAAAGGTTTTAAATATTATTTTTGAATTAGTTATGTGATCAGTCGCGCCTGAGTCTGCCAGAAATTTAATCTTAACAGATTCATTTTGAATTTCATTTTTATTGTTACACATTTCTGTATATAATGTAACATTATTAAAGTTATAACATTTAATGTTATGCTTACCCATATTGTTATCCCCGTTATCTTGATTTCCTTGTTTAGTTGGTTTATTTGCTCTGACATTTTGTTTGTCATTGGATTTTTGGTTATTTCTATTTTGAACTTTCTGATTATTTCTTAACCCACCTCTGACAAAATTACCGCGCCCTCTTTTACCATAATTTGGATAATTCGCATTAGATTTTCTTTTTAAATGAGACCCCTGATTAAAGTTTTGATTACTGTACCTTGAATCTCTTCCTCTATGCCCTCTTCCTCTAACTACGTATCTCGGGGTAGAAGCTTGAGTCGGACAAGAAGCAGCAACGTGACTCCCAAATTTGTTACATTTGTAACACTTTATTCCTCTGCCCTTGTTGGGGCATTCAGCTCCAATGTGTCCATAATCTTGACACTCGTAGCATCTTATTTTAGTTTCGCCTCTTGCCAAGTTTGTCGATCTCACCTCCTTGTCCTCTTCTTTATCTCGCCTTGTTGCTTCGTCCTGCATAATTAAAGATTTTAACTCGTCATATGAAATGCTTTTACCCTTCGTATTTTTCGACACAAATTCAATTGTCTGTACAGAAGGCACAGACACCATAATTGCATTGTAAAATGCATCTCTTTTCTCATCTTCGGAGAAAGGAACAGAACCTTTAGAATTTTCGTAATTTCTTATTGTATCTTCAAATTTTTCGCAAAATTCTCCCGCCGTTGTTTTGCCAAAAATATATTTCATGTTATACAATTGTTTTCGCACCGTATGTGAATTTACATTTATTTCGCATCTTTTAATTTCTGCTAATTTTTCAAGAATTAGTTTTGGATCCTGATATTGCATTACTTTCGAATGATAATAACTATCCAAGTGATTTATTAGTATATCGCGAACTTTAAATTTTTGTTCTGTTAGTAAAGTCTCGTCAATAGTCTGTAAATCAAAATTCTCGTCTATAATGTGTAAAAGATCACAAGACCTTAGTTCTGATGTAAAATAATCTCGAAAATGTTCATATTTAACACTGTTAGTTAGTTTATAATCTCGTTTATAACTCCCACCTTTATTTATTATTTCAAATTTTACCACTTCTTTAAGACTTTTATTTTCAACATTTTCTCCCTTTTGTGTAGAAGAATTTAGATTTTCACAAGTTTCTTTGATTATTTTTGCGATTTCATTTTTAAATTCAATATTAGGATCAATTGTTCCTTTCTCTTCGATGGTACTTGAATTGTTACTCACCTCTTCATTATTCGCTTTGGCCTTTTTCTCGATTCTAAAAGCCTTAGCTATCTCACCTAATGTGTATATTGTGTCTCTCATCCTTATGTTCTGTTTCACATAATCTTCTCTTAGCAAAACAGTTAAATCAGTCAACGTTTGTTGACTGACTGCCTCTTTATTTTTAATTTTTAATGACTCTTTTATTTGGTGAATCGAACCAGTCATTTGTTCAGTGGCTTTGATTGAACTGATACAAAAATTGTTGACGATTTCAACCAATTTGTCCATCTTTGTTTCTTGTGCGTTCATCCTCTCCATAACTGTAATATTTTCAATTGAATTAATTTGAGGGTTAGAGCAAGAAGGTACAGGTTCCCGTAAGTTTGTATTAATTCTGTATCTAACATTACTTATTATTTTGGGTTTAGGTTTCGAAATATCAGAGTTCAAATTTTTTGAATTATTTAAATTACCAATATTCAGCATTTCAGCTTCCGAACCATTTCTTTTGACAATTTTCTCTCCTTCTACCTCTCCTTTCTCTGCTGACTCTTCTTTCTTTCCTGACACTTCTTGAGTATTTTTCTCTCCTTGCTCTTCGTTCTCTCCTAACACTTCATTCTCTCCTAATGACCCTTTCTCATCCTCATCCTCTTCGTCTATTGTCATTAGTTCGGTCGCTGAACATTCTGAGAATGTCCTTGGCATGATAGCTGGTAGATCAAGAAGAGTTTTCTCGTCTAACCAACTCTGAAGGGCTGCCCATTCCTCCTGAGTCATCATGCGTTTTTCTAAAAGAAATTTTGGAAATATAGTAAAATTGATTAATTTTCAAGGACAATGTTCTAAAGTCAGTATATCGAACATCAAATATGACTGACTTCAGAACGATCAAGTACATAAAGATCTGCACAGCAAGATCCTCATAATACCCGACCTAGGATGTGTGTCAGTGTAATACCGAACATCAAGCATACACTTCTACACAAACTTCTCAGTTTATTTTATTGCAATTTTTATATACACATATACACATGTATATACTCATGAGTTTTTATTTTATTTAATCATATATATATATATATATATATATATATATATATATATATATATATATATATATATATATATATATTTCTTTATAGACTCACCCGTGTGGTAAAATACATTTTCTCTTATTTTAAGAGTTATATTCTCTCCTTCGACGATGACTTTTATTTCGTCATCCGGATGACTTTTGTCCAATCCAAACATTAAGTTTAGATTTTTCCACATCCTTTGAATCGTCGTCTCATCTGTAACTTTTTGTTATATTTATTAATAATGTTAAATTAATGTACTTTTATTCACATTCATACATTATTTTGTTTCGATATATTAAAAATTTAATTTTAATCTATTCACTTAAAATTTTATTTCAAATTCTCATCTTTATTCTCATCTTGTATTTATTTCAGATCTAGTTATTATTTCATTGTGACTTATTTCTATTAGTATTTAATTCTTTGTTTTGATTTTGTGGGTACCCAACGGCGCTCGAAGGAGAGAGAGAGAAAGACAGCACTGTGTTTATATTACGCATCTTTTGTTCGAACAGTTTCACAGTCACAGCCTTCCCCACACTCCCCTCCGCCCCGCATCACTCAAACTTGCCGGTATTCTCGTCTTTGTTTCTCTCTCACCGGCACCTATTTCTCTCTCCATCACATAGCCGCCATTTTTATTCAACAAGTCTTAGCCTGTTCAACCATGTGGCTTTTCTTTTTCTTTTAATTACTATTTAAAATTTCAATTCAAAATTTTGTTTATATAATTTAATCTCATCTACATTTTCTAATTATTTAAACTCAATTTTTATATATTTAGGTGCGTAATTAGAAATTAAATTTTTGTGTAAATTCAAAATCTCATCTACTCATTCTTTTGCTCATCATTTAATAAAATTACATATATGTATATCTTACTCACCAGCCTGTGCAGTTACCTCACTCATCTTGTCAAGGATTTTTCTCGCCACTAATTTTACAGCAAAATCACTTCCTAATTATTTTCTTTTCTCACTTACTAAAAGGCACTTTTTCCACGTGGTGGAAACGCGAATTGTTTTTACAATTACCTGGGCTCCATAACCTGTTGGAAGGTTAAGTGAGAAACACACAGTTTAGAAAAAGAACACTTTAGTTTTATTTATTAAACGTTATTAGACAAAATACACTTCTTTATTATATCGAAGATATAGAGAGATACTTTTAGGTTTCGAAGGAACGAACGCACGCGGCAAGGGCAAGAGGAACGATACTGTACATCACGTGATCGGCTAAGCGCAGTCTAGTGGCGCTAGAATATACTAACAGAGAAAAGGGCGGGCGTTTCAAACTTCTAACAGATTCAAATAACTGATTAATTGACTATTATCAATTAAATATTTAATTCAATCAAATAATATTTATTGGAGTCAATTAAATGGTTTAGTTCATATTTGCTTCAAATACTGAGAAATTATTGGTTCAAATATGAATTGAACCATTTAATTGACTCCAATAAATATTATGTGATTCAAGTAAATATTTAATTGATAAATAATTAATCCGTTATTTGAATCAAATAAATTTTTTTTCAATATATATTGAAAAAAAAACCCCTTTTCTTTTCTTTGCTATCTTAAATAATAGATCAATTTTCATCTTTTCTATTTAAAAATTAAAAATCCTTTCTATCTTTTCGGAGACAATTGATTTTAAAAATTTAATTTTATATTTTATTCTGTTTTTCATATGAGTGAATTTTTATTTCAATAAATCCGAATATGTGGGTATTTTAATTTTCCTTTTTTATGATTAACGTCTTGTTTTTAAAAATTCAACGAGTCTAGTTCACCAATTGAGTGTGTCACCGCTTTGAATGATATCAACTGAATTATGAAAAATCCTCAAAGTCTCTTTGTTTCACGATTTTTTTCCTTGTCAACGAAAAAACGCGACATTATTTTTAAGAGAAATTTATAAATAATGATTATTAATAATAAAAATTATAATATTTAATAATTATTAATAATTAATAATAAATGAATTAAAAATTAATAATATTAATAATTTAATTAATTATATATAATTATAATTAATAATTATATGTAATTATACGAAAACATGAATAATTTCTTTTTTAAGTAAATATTTAATTATTATTATTATTATTATTTATAAGAATTTTTAACTAAAATTATTCTTAAAATCGATCATTATTAATAATTTTCGAAAAAGTTCTTTGACAATTTTCAAATCCATTTGTTTTCAATATTCAATTTTACGAAATTTTAATTATTCGCAAATTCTTCAATTACATAAATATTAGAAAATAAAAACTTAAAATAATATTAAAAAAATTCAATTAAACTTTTTGAAAAAAAATTGATTTCAAAATTCAATTATTTTTAAAAATTCACGCTATAGGTATTGCTTTTAATATTCAATTATGATCTAAACTTTTAACTAAAATTAATTTTTAAATCAATTTTTTTTAAATTATACTAGAATTTAATTATTTAAATTTTAAATACAAAAATAAATAATTTATTGAATAATTGAATGTTTCTTAAAATTCAATTCCCACAAAGAATCGTTATCAACAAATATTCAAATAACTGAATCCTTTTGACGAATTTTAATAAAATTAAAAAAATTTTTTTCGAGGAATTTGATTAAAATTATATTGAAAATAATTAAAATTCTGCAATGAGTTTTATTATTTATGGAAATAATTGAATTCTTAAAAAGAATTTTTATTATTTACAAATATAATTGAATCTCCGTAAAAATTTTATTATTTATGAAAATAATTAAATGATTGCGAAGAAATTTATAAAATAAATTGTAAATAATGAAATTCCTTTGAAATTTATATTATTTTTTGAAAATAATTAAAAGTTTGTGTAGAATTTTATTAAATTTTTTAAAAAATAATTTCATTTTTTTGGAAAATTTTGGAAAATAATTGAATTTTGTGGAGAATTTAATATTCTTCAAAATGTTTCTTATATTCTTTGTTGTTATATTCTTCTTCTTCAAAATTGTTTTCATCATTTCAATTCAATCATGATTTTGAATTTTTTTTTTAAATTTCAAACGTAATTGAATTATATGAGAAGAATTTTATAACTTTTGAAAATAATTGAATTTCTGGAATTATTTGTAATTCCTCCAAAATTGAATTTTTGTAGTGTTTTCAAAAAAAAAATTGATTTAAAAATTTTTAAATTCTAGGTATTATTTTTAAAATTGCTAATTTTATTTTAAAAAATAAGTAAGTTGTTAGCCGCGCGCTTTAGCGCACGAATTGTTGCTACTGTTATAATAATTTTAATATAATAATTATAATACAATACAATAATACAATACTTTTAATTATTATTGACTGATAATGTATTTAATAATAAATCTGATAATTTTTGAATTAATATAATTATTTTAAGTAATACTGCATAATTATAATTATAATTATAATTAGTTAATATTTTTTTATAATAGTCAATAATTTTTATAATTAGTTAATGTTAATTAGTTAATGTTTTTCTTAATTAGTTATTAATTTTTATAATAAGTTATTATTTTTCTAAAATTAGTAAATAATTTTCTTAATTAGTTATTAATTTTTATAATAAGTCATTAGTTTTCTAAAATTAGTAAATAATTTTCTTAATTAGTTAACAGTTGTTATAATTAGTTATTATTGTTTTATAATTAGTTAATATTTTTCTTTATTAGTTAACAGTTTTCATAATTGGTTATTAATTTTTATAACTAGTCATTATTATTATTATTATTATTATTATTATTATTTTTTTTTTTTTTTTTATAATTACTTAATAAATTTCATATGCGAAAATTCGGCGAATGCATATAAAATAAACAATTTAGAAAATCAGAAATATTTCTTCTTTATATATTCAACTGCATTTAAAACCAAATGCCATTAAAATAAACTATGAGAACATTTCACTTGAAACGAGAAAATGCACAGTTTAGGTTTATGTCCCTCATGGGCGTCATAAAAATATTGACGATGTCTTTTTAACGTCGAGAAAATATCGTATGAGTTCATTTTTTTTTGTCCTCTGGGATATGAATCAATGTTAGAATAAAGAGAAACGTATAGGAATGGTTTTAAAATTCTTTTTTTTAATCGACATTGCCCGCAATTAAAAAAAGACCCGAAAATAAAATTTTTACATTATGAGACAATATTTAATTTTTAAATTAAAAAAAAGAGAAAGATCTTTGTGGTCCTAATCATGCTCAGGTCAGAGCCCCCCTTTAAAATTAGAATATTTTAAAATTATTTAAAGAAAATATTTTTAATTTTAAAATTCAACTCTTTTTTCAAAAGAGCCATCTCCTGATTTGAAATAAAAAATATTAAAATGATTGAAAATAAAAAAAAGTTTTTTGAAATTGAATAATTTGCAAAAAAAAAAAAAAATTTCGAGGAAGAGTTTAGAAAAATTTCAGATGTTCAGTGGGAAGAACCGAGTCCAAAATTTACTGTGGGAACTGGGAGACTGCCAATGCATTATTATACCCAAAGGATCCTATTGTGTCGGGGGATATAAAATTTATGTCCTCGAAATTCTTGTCAGGAAGAAGAGATTAAAAAAAAGAACCACTAGCATAAGGTGACCAAATCTAATCAGATCTGTAACCTAACCTGATCCAAGAAATGTTATCTCGAAAATTTTTCAGAAAAAAAAAATTGAAATTAAACTCGAAATTAAAAATTATATTAAAACAGAAATCTTGTTATTGAACAAAATATTTCGTTCCTTTAGAATTTTCCATTTTAATTTAAAAACAAAATCGATTAAAATTCCATAGTATTGTCGAATTAAAAAAAAATCCTTCCACGAGACTATAAATTTTTGAAAAACCTTTTATTGTGATTTTAAATTGCTTTTCATTAGCATTGAAAATAATGAAGGGCGGTAAATTTCCATCAATAGTAAATTAGTCAACAAACTAGTTGGGTAATCAATTAAATTGGTTCATTTTAAAATACACACATTGAAGCAGTATATACATGAAAATCGTTCTAATTGTTCAATGTACATATTCGCTTATATAATTGGTAGAAGGGAATTGTAAGAGGAAATCTTGGTTTGCCTGCGAGTGATAGAATCCCCTTAAAGATCTTAAAATTAACCAATTTCTGAATTTCACTATACATCTTGTACTCGGAAATTCTGAAGGGTAATAAATTCCATGTGTTAAATTGTCTGGTAAAAAATTTTCAAAAGAAATTAAAATTTGAGATGAAAGAGATTTAAAGATTTAAAATTTAATTATTTAAAAATTTCTTGATAAAATTTTTTATCAGAATTCAATTTTAAGAAATAACTTCTTTTTTAAATAAATATTTAATCATTATTATTTTTACATTGGAATTAAGTTTTTCAAGTTCAAATCTTTTGAAATTAAATAACTTATGAGAATATTATTAGAAAACACCAAGAAACCGACTACTCCGAGTCTTCGACTCAGAGTCATCGCTTTCTTCATGTTTTATGATAAATTTAAGATGACCGAGTGATAGAATCATTATTTTATATTATAACAATATTGTTCCTGTAAATTTTTCAAAATTACTTTCATCATTTTAATTTAATAATTATTTTCCAGAATTTTTAAATAAAATTCTTCTTTAAGTCAATATTTTTAATAATTTTTGAAAAAGTTCTTGAGAATTTACAAATACAATAATGTTTAAAATTCAATTATACGAACTTTTGATTATTCGAAAATTCTTCAATTAAATTATATATTATAGAAAATAATAACTTCAAATAATTACAAGAAAAAATTCAATTAAACTTTATCAAAAAAAATTAATTCCACAGAAATTTTTGTTAAAAGTATGAAAATTTCAGATTTTAAAGGATTTTAATTTGAAACCTTTTCAAAATTCAATTATTTATAAAAATTCGCCCTATAAGGCTTTTAATATTCATTTATCTAAAATTTTAACTAAAATTCATTTTTAAATCAATTTTTATTAAAAAATTCTACGAGAATTAAATTATTTAAATAGAAAAATAAATAATTTATTGAATATTTCTTAAAATTTAATTCCCATAAAGAATTTTATCAACAAATGTTTAAATAATTGAATCCCTAAGAAAATTTTTATTATTTTCGAACAATAATATTTGATTTTTGCAAAGAATTTTATTAATCTTGAAAATAAATGAATTTCTGCAAATAATTTGTAACTTTTTCAAAATTAAATTTTTTTTCGTGTTTTTAAATAAAATTCTTCTTTATTCAATATTTTTAATGATGTTTAAAAAAGTTCTTTGAGAATTTTCAAATTCATTTGTTTACAATTCAATTTTACAAAAGTTCAATTATTCGTAAATTCTTCAATTAAATATACATTAGAAAATAAAAAGTTGAAATAATTTCAATAAAAATCCACAATTAAACTTTCTCAAAAAAATTAATTCCACAAAATTATTAGTTAAAAATATGAAAAATTCAGAGTTTCAAAGATTTTAACTTGAAACCTTTTCAAAATTCAATTATTCCTAAAAATTCGCACTCTAAGACCTATACTTTTAATATTCAATTATTATCTAAAATTTTATCTGAAATTCATTTTGAAATTAATTTTTATTTGAAAATTCTACGAGAATTAAATTATTTAAATACAAAAATAAATTTATTGAATAATTGAATTCTTTTGACAAACTTTAATTTAATTTTGAAGAATAATTAAATTTTTCGAGGAATTCGATTAAAATTGAATGAAAAATAATTGAAATTATGCGATGAGTAGGTATTGTTAGTGATGAAAATAATTGAACTTCTGTAAATAATTTTATTGTTTATGAAAATAATTGTATTATTGCGAAGAAATTTATAACAAATTTTGTAAATAATTGAGTTTTAGTAAAATTTTTATTATTTATGAAAATAATAAAATGTTTGTACCTATAGAATTTTATTAAATTTTCTTTTAAGTAATAGAAATTTTTGCAGAGAATAATTATTAAAATTTTTGAAAATAATTGAATTTTGGAGAAGAATTTTATTTTATTTATAAAGATAATTGAAATTTGGACGAGAATATTAAAAAATTTTTGAACATAATTGAATTTCTGCGAATATAATTGAATTATTACGAAGAAATTTATAACAAATTTGTAAATAATTGAATTTCAGTGAAATATTTATTATTTATGAAAATAATTGAACCCCTGTAAAAAATTTTATTGTTTATGAAAATAATAAAATGTTTGTTCCTATAAAATTTGTGGAGAATAATTTTATTATTTATAAAGATAATTGAAATTTGGACGAGAATTTAAAAAAATTTTTGAACATAATTGAATTTCTGCTAATTTTTATTATTTATGAAAATAATTGAATTATTACGAAGAAATTTATAAAAAAAAAAATTGTGAATAATTGAATTTTTGTGAAATTTTTATTATTTAGAAAAATAATAAATAAATCGATTATTTTTAATAACTAATTAAGTAAATGTTACAAAATTTAACTAATTTTAGAAGAATTTGAATTATTAACATTTTAAAAAAATCTAAGTTCTTCTCATGAAATTTATTCAAAATTTGAAATTTTATAAAATTTCAAATTAAAACCTTTTGAAGTTTATCTATTTATGAAAATTGTAAACGCAACTTTTTTTAAAATTTAATGAATTTTGAAATTCTCAAGTAAAATTATTACAAAATGAAGTTTATTTATATTTAAATACATTTTCATAACTGTAAATAACGTTGTTGATTTGTTAATGAAATAATGTTCCTCACTCACCAGTATTGAAGGGGGAAATATCTGATATGATTTTGGGATACGACCCTTAATTCCCAAGTCTGTCGGGATATATCCAGCTTTATGACGAGCGTTTAGTATACATATATCATGGACGAAACTCGTATAACTATAACTGTTGGCGCTGCCGGACAACGCCTAATATTTGTCTAGAGACAGTGTACTCGTGAGCTTAATTGGAAAGCGCGGTGAATTCGGTATACCATTTGACCGCATACGCTTTTTAGCGAAATTCCTCCGGGTCCTGTGGTATTTTCTACGAATCCTCTTAACGAACCTAGAGGACTCCTCTCGCCGTCTTACACTCCAAAACGCATTTAATAATAATAACAACAATAATACTCACTGTTCTCTTTTTCCTTATTTTCTTTCTAACCTCCGTTATTTCCTAAAAAGAAAAAAAATTGTACCACATAAACCAAACGAAATTAAACACAACAGAAAACATAGACAGAAACAATATTAATATTAATATTGATTAATTATTCAACTGGTCAATTACTAAGTAAAAACTAGTTGGATTTACTTAAAAAAGTAAAATTCGTCTCCAAATACAAAAAAATTTTTATAATTAATCTATTTTTAGTATTCTTGACACTTTTAAGATTATAATTAACGATATAATAGTTTTTTAAGCGATACTATTTACCGTCAGACTAAAAAAGCTCAATCTAGTTCCTGACTAGTTTCCCCTGTGTAACTAGTTTCTTCCTAGTTTCCTCTGTAAATCCCAAGTGATTTATTTTTTTCTCAATCTAGTTCCTGCCTAGTTTCCCCTGTGTAACTAGTTTCTGTCTAGTTTCATCTGCAAATCCCAAGTGATTTATTTTTTTCTCAATCTAGTTCCTGTCTAGTTTCCCCTGTGTAACTAGTTTCTGTCTGGTTTCATCTGCAAATCCTAAGTGATTTATTTTTTTCTCAATCTAGTTCCTGTCTAGTTTCCCCTGTGTAACTAGTTTCTGCCTAGTTTCCTCTGTAAATCCCAAGTGATTTATTTTTTTTTCTCTTAAACCTTGAAGGTATCACTATTGGTAACAAATTTAAGCGTTACATTTCAGCCTAGGAACTAGATAATCAAAAAAAAAAAAACAAAAAGAACCAAAGAAAAAAACGAAATGTTGCAAAAAATACCACAGAAAAGAAAACAAATAAACTAAAAGGAACGAACTGTTGTAAAAATACTACAGAAAAAGACAAATAAACAAAAAGAAAAGAAATGTTGCGAAAAAAACCTACAAAAAACTTGAACTATGTACTTAAATTTTAGAAAAATTCATAAAAGAAGAAATTTTTTTATGTCCAGGGCTATAAAAAAATTTTGTTGCTATTCGCAGAGGGAGATCAAAACACAGTAAATCGTGACAAGTAGTTTCTACACCCCGTTTTGAAGAGTCAAAAGAAAGTACAAAAAAAAAAATAAATAAAAATAACTCCTCAAATAACTTGACTACTGGTTCTGAATTTTAATTTTCGTTACATTTCGCACAACTAGCCCCCTATTTCAACCCTAATCAAGCCAGGTCAAAATTAAAATTAAATTCAAATTCTGTCACTGCTTATATATTATTAATCAAATTTCTACAAGAATATAATTTTTTTTCAAAATTAAAAATTCGATTTGAGGAAAAATTCCCTCTGCGCGAGAACGAATTCTATAAAATACTTTTAGAAATTTCTTTTTGCACCAAAAAAAAAAAAAAAAGAACACAGAGCATTATTTAAAGTGAGGCAAACCATTAAGCGCGCAACTCTTATGAATTCAAAGACAAAAATCATATACCCTTTTTTCTGGAACTCGAGTTCAAAGGCACCCATCTCGCGAGCAAAAAAAAAAAAAAAAAAAGTCGCCAGCTGTTAAAAAAAATCGCTTTGAAAAGCAGCTAATATCTCTGTCTGAAATTACGAGACTCTGAAGCAGGATACAAGATAAAGCAGATGGCAAAAATAAAAAAAGAAAAAGGAAAAAAGAAAAGAGAGTAGGAGTATTACTGGACAGCGCAAGTAGAAAAGGGCGGTGCGCGCTATGCACCAGAGTGACTAGAGTCGAGTTTGTGAAAAGAGAGGGGTTGGAAAAGTAGGTAGAGTTTCTGCGCAAGCAACACTCACGCTCTATCATCTGAAACGAAAACAACCCCTATAAAAATTAAAAAAAAAAAATAACCCCCACCCCCTAAAAAAAATTTTTTTTTCTATTATTCCCCCAAAAAAAAATTAACCCTCTTTCTTCGATTAAAAACAAAAAGGAGAGGGGGGTGTGAGCGATTGAGAACCATATTTAGAGCGCGAGTCGAGTCCTGTAAACGTGGTTTAAAATCGATGCGAATCGCAGGTTGCGGTCAGTCAGCGAGAGACCTTCGCGCGTATCGCTTCGACTTGGGAAGCGTAAATTTTTTTTTTATTTTAATTCAAAAAGAAAATAAAAAAAATAAATAAATAAAAGTGAAAAATAATTTTGTGAATGTCGCATTTTAAGAGAGGGGAAAAAATATTAATAATGCGTGTCAAGTGATAATTTGAATGTGGAATCATTCCGTCATGCCTTGTTTTAAAAAAATTCACCTTTACGTGCAAAAAAATTCACAAAAGGATCCATGAGCAGAGTATCAAGTTGGTACCCGTGATATAAAGGACCCTAGGGTCCAAAATACCATTTAGAATCTCGAAAGTGGTGAGTACTCACGACTGTTGCTTCGTTCATTGATACAAAGACAATTGATTTCGAGTGAGAGTAGAAATTTGAATTTCCCTATCATCGTAATGACAAAAAATTATTTCTCAATTCAGCAGCTAATATTAAAATAAATATTAAATAATATTAAAATAATTATTAAATAATATTAAAATAATTATTAAATAATATTGAGATAGATATTAAATAATATTAAAGTAAATATTAAATAATATTTAAATAAATATTAAGTAATATTAATATAAATATTAAATAAAAATAATGTTAATTAGCTAATTATAATATTAATTACTAATATTAATGAAAATTAATATTTTTTATACTAATTATATTAATATTGAATTAATTAATTACAATCTTAATTAATATTGCGATTACTAATGAAATTTTTTATTTAAACTAATTATACAAATAGTATTAAAGTTAATAATCTTAATAAATATTACTAATTTATTTTTTTTTCAAAAACTAAAAATAAATTTAATTTATAAACGGACTTAAAAAAATTTGATTGAAATTGAAAGTAATAATTAATAATAATATTGTAATTAGGAATATTAATTAATAATGATATTGTAATTAAGAATATTAATTTATAGCAATATTTTAATTAACAATATTTACTAATAATAACATTATAATAAAAAATATTTACTAATAATAACATTATAATTAAAAATATTTACCAATAATAACATTATTTCTTAAGATATATTCATTAGTAATATTAATATTATGATTCAAAATATTTATGAAAATATTTATCAGAATTGGAAATAATTAATAATGATTTTTTTAGAATTAAAAATATTAATCAGTTAGTAAAAAATTGATAAATGATTACACAGTTTTTCTAGGGATATTAAATTGAGACAAAAAACGAATCAAAAGTGTTGCGAAGCAACATTTTGATTCGTATTTTGACTCAATTTAATATCCTTAGAAAAACTGTACCGTAATGATAACATTAAAAACAATCACTAATAATGTTAGCTACAATTGACAATTAATAATATTTAATAAAAATAAAATGAAAAATCTAAAATTAATAAAAATTAAATAAAATTAATATAAATTATTAGGGAATTAAAATAATATTGAAATATTGAAATTAAACATTAAAATTACTCTCGAAATTCCATTTTCCAGTGTAAACACTCCAGAAAATAGAATACTCAACACGATAGTGTAACTTTCATAGAACTACCAAGTTGAGAATTTATTTTCGACGACAATAATGACATTATTTACATATCGTTTATATGAAAATAATTTAGCAAAAAAATGAACAAATTTTCTCGAAATAAATACAATATAAAATAAACATTCCTCAAACTACGAATTAAAACATACCATAATGTAACTTTGTAATTAAATTAATTAACTCAAGTCAAAAAAGTAAATTACGAGAGAAAATTACTTATTAATTTCCTGCAAATTTTTTTCTGCAATTTTTTGTAATTTTTTATAATTCTTTTCACAATTTTTTTTTTTGCAAAATTTTTTCAAAATTACAAATGTTTCTACAAATGCATTGTTTCTTAAATTGGTTTGAGAAAATTTATTTCAACAAATAACATTGTAAATAAAAATGGAAAAAAATACAACGTAAAATGGTGTATACGAGAGATGAAATTTCCAGACGTTTTCAGGTGTAATCACACACACACACACACAAATATACATACATATACAAATATATATGTATTTTTGCAATTTTATGTGGCAGGGCAATTTAAAAAAAAATGCGATAAAAATTTAAGAATAATATAAAAATAATATTATTTCATATAATATGAAAATTTATGTCTTCCATTTTTGTTTAGAGAAAATGTATTGATTTTCTCTTGTTTAATTTTCAAATAGAATGAATTCATTTTATTCTAATTATTATAATATAGTTTTGAATAAAAAATTATAATCGTGTATTTTGAAATAATAATGTGCACACTGAATAGAAATATCTATTATTAATGATAATTGAATTATTAATGATTCAATATTGTATATGTCAATGATTTTATGTTGTCCCGGTATTAGTGACAAATATTTACCGATTCATGAAAATGGAATACATTTGACAATATAATTAGCAATTAGTAAATATTAATAAATTAGACTTTAAAAATGTAAATTTGAATATTACCGAAGATATCATATTTAAATATTTAATTAACAATATTTTAACATGTTAGCAATATAATAATATAATAATATAATAATATAATAATATAATAATATAATAATATAATAATGTAGTAACATAATAATATAATTATCTACTTATTACATATTATTATAATTTTATAATTGATATTATATTATTAAATAATAATTATAATAATCACATTAATTAATAATTACAACTATTACTTAAACTTATAATAAATAAATAAAAAATATTTCAATAACTTTATATTTTAATTATAATTAAATATTCAAATTTCAAATATTTTAATTTAACAGTTAATTTTTTACGGGGGGGGGGGGGTATATATTTTTTTCATAATATTTATTTATAAAAGAAGAAAATCTAGAATATATATAATATTTTTCCTCTGTTAAAGAAGAAAAATATATTTTCTTTCTATGTAATATTTTCGTGTCTTGAACGAAATTCATAAATCTCACTCAGGTGTTCTTATATGGCACTGTAGATATTATTCCGGTGAGAATATGCAAATCGACATTCTACGCTTTTGCCACATGAAAATAGACACTATGCATCTTCTATGCGTTATTATCAGTAATAAAAGATGCTATAAAAAAGGGGTTTTAAATTATGATGTAGTGATACTAGTAAAACTACTCTCTGTCTATACACATATATATATTGTGTACATGTGGATATATAAAAATAAGTATATAGAAGAACAATAGAGATATAATATCAAGTTTAATGTCATTTCACTGGTCTGGAATATTTATACACACACTCAAAAATTATATACATATATAGAATGTTTGCACATAGTAACTTGTAAGAAAAGTGTGTTATTATTCTTTTTCAATAAAATATTTATTTTCTGTACATTAGTATTATAGAATATTAATTATTAATTGTATTTCGAACGAAAATGAATTTTAGTCAAGAATTTAGGAAAACTAATTTAGTTAGTACAAATTCGACTAGTTTTTTGGTTATTTTTTTACTAAAAAGTAAAAATTAATAATTTGATCATTTATTTTACTACTAAAAATTTGTTGACAAATGTTTACATTTTTACTAATAGTTACTAATATTTTACTGACAATTAGTACTATTTTACTAACAATTGGGAATATTTTACTAACAATTGGTAATATTTTACTAACAATTGGTAATATTTTTCTAACAATTAGTAATATTTTACTAATAATTAGTGATCATTCTGTATTAATTAGTTACTTTTGACTAATAACTAGCGATATTTTTCTAATAATTAGTTATCACTAGCTAATTAGTTATGATTCAAAAGTATTTAGTTATAATTAGTTGGTTATTGGTTATCATTCACTAATAAAAAGTTATCAGTTACCTTTAATCAATAATTAGTTATCTTTATCTAATAATTAATGATATTTTCCTAATAATTGGTTATCACTCGCTAATAATTAGTTATGATTCAATAATAATGAATTATCATTAAAAAAAATAATTTATATAATTTGACAGTTATGAGTTACTATTCACTAATAACTAATTATTATAATTCACTAACTAATTAGTTATTATTCGCTAGTTATTAGTTCCCAATCACGGATAATTAGTTATTATCTTTAACTAATAATTAGTGATTTTTTTCTAATAAATAGTTATCTTTGACTAATAATTAGTGATAGTTTTCTAATAATTAGTTATGATTCAAAAATGATTAGTTATCGTTTGCTAATTCTTAGTTATCACTCACTAATAATAATTAGTTATTATTTTCTAGTCATCAGTTAATTTTTAAGTATTTTTTATAAAAATAATTGAATTTAAAAAAAAAATTGTATTATTTATAAAAATAATTGAATTATTGCGAAGGAATTTATAAAAAAATTTATAAATAATTGAATTCCTGAGAAATTTGTATTATTTATAAAAAATAATTAAATGTTTGCGTAATATTTTTGGGAATTTGAAATTGATTTGAAAATAATTGAACTTTGGGGAAGAATTTTGTTGTTTATAAAGATAATTAGAATTTTGACGAGAATTTTTTTTAAATTTGTCAGATAATTGAATTTTATGAGAAGAATTTTATCACTCTTGAAAATAACTGAATTTCTGTAATTATTTGTAATTTTTCCAAAATTGGATTTTTTTAGTGTTTTCAACAAAAATTTGAATTACAAATTTTTAAATTCTATTATTTTTAAAATTGCTAATTTCATCCTAAACAGTTAGCCTAAAAAGTTAGTTAGTTGCTAGTTGGATAATAATTAGCTTCTTTAAAATAATTAGTATTTTTATTAATAATCACATAATTTTCACTAATTATCGAAAAAGTCGTCTAAAATCTCAATCGAATATAAAAAGGCAGCCAAAAGTTTACTAACAATTTAATTGCTTTTCTTGAAACTAAATCAAAGAGTGTTAATTATTAATTCCGAATTGTTAACTACTACGTTTATTTGATAATAAATTTAATTAATAATTATACTAATTTTTAAAAAACAATTTTCTTTAATTTTAACATTTTTTTCAAAATTGTATGTAGAGTTGTATTACTTAATAATTAGTTTACAAATTTTCTAATTAATAATTTGAATTTCTTCTTCGAAATGAGAGTTCACTGAATAATTAGTGGCCCTTTAATAATTAAAAACAGCCTGTGAATTTATTAACAGTAATTATTTATTAACTGTAATATTTAATTTTGCTCATTTGGAACTTTTATCATTAATAATTATTATTACCTGAAATATAGAACAAATTTTAAGAAATTATTTAAATGAAATAATTTTGAAAATTATTTAATAAAAAATTAAAAATATATAATCATCGTGTAATA